ATTTACAAGTCACTGAGAACGGAGGCTTTTTCGCCGGATTTTGACCGTTTCACTCCGTTCTTTCGCCATTTCCCCACTATACAGCGCCCTACTAGCATTTTAGGCTAAGTAGGAAACCATCGTGCCAACTGCCTTTAAATTTGTCAAATGTCAAATGCATCACTTACAAATCATGGCATACAAATTCATCATGAAAGGGTGGGATCACTGCGTAATTGCTGCAGATAAGCAAAATAATCGAAAAAGATAGTGGGATCAGTGGCACTGTAGCTTCGAGGTGTGATGCGATTCTGTTCACTACAGTCGTTTTCGCTGCAGACACTGGGGCATGTCACGAGTGGGGCTAGGTTTGGCGCGACGCCGGCCCGTTCTCCATTTGCTGTTGAAGCGGGCAGGCGACAGCAAATGGGCAATTGGTAGGAAACGGTCAGGCGCTGAGTCAACCCAGCGCCCCGACGTACGGATACCTTTTCATACTTTTGTGTATCCACAGACTTCGTCACAGCATTTCACTCATCCTCATCCGACCTCTTCACTCTTTACGCCTCTCCACTCATTCTTAACCTGTCATTTCCGTTCTCTTTTCATTCTTCTTATGTTCCTCAGATTTATTTCTGCGCTTCCTTACCCTCATCACATTCGGCCAATGTGCACAACTTTTTTTTGAAATACCTCTCTGAAGTGTATCCAGCTAAGTTTTTGCAGATGTATGGTCTGCCGGATGTGTAGTAGGAGAGATGGTGAAGGGGAATGTGCTCTTCCCCGGTCGAGATACGAAACACCAACTGAAGCTTATTCGGCGAGCCTTGGGTAGCCCCACTGATGCTGACATGAAGTGCGTTTCAATTCAAATTAAAACAAATAATTATGCATACTTATAAGCATGATCACGAGCGATAGGGTGCACTTCGTACTCCGGGAATAGGGTGGGCGTGACTGCGTACCTCATTTGAACATGGCGTAGGATGTGTTTTTTGAAAAGTATCCCACTTCAAGCCACAGTCATCCTTTTTCGTGTGGACGAATTCATGATAAGAACTGTCCTGAAACGGCAACATCTGGAAGCGCAGCCAATGCCATGTTTAAGCGGAATGTGCAGTCACCCCCATCTCACATCCGCGATCACCTGTATCACCTGTGCTCCCGTTGATCATCGAGTTCCTCGAGCGGGCGCCAGTAACGTCTCCATTCGTCCCTGCAACGTGCAAGAGTTGCCCAATGAACTCTCTCAGCTCGAGGGACACGATGAACTTCATACCATTCGTTCAGAGCTTTCACGAAGAAGTCTGACCATCGCATAGGCGGTCGTCCAGGCGTTCGCTTGACATCCCGTGGAATCCAGTCGGTGACTGCTCTGGTCCAGCGGTCGTCCTCGAAACGCATGACGTGTCCGGCCCACCTGATCTTCGAAACCTTGGCAAATGCGGCGGCGTCTCTGATCTTCGATCGTTGGCGGAGTGCGGAGCTCCGGATTCCCTCTCTCACTTGCGTGTAGCGGGAAACTCCGAGCATCGCCCTTTCGATGGCGCGTTGAATAACGCCGACCGCATGCTCATCCTGCTTTCGTAGAGTCCAAGTCTCTGAGGCGTACGTCAAGGCAGGAAGGACCGCGGAATCGAAGAGGTGGGCACGGAGCTTGGTGTTCTTCGTCTCTTCGCTACTCCCTCGATGTTCTTGAAGGCTCCCCAAGCCGCTCGCTTCCTCCTGCTCAGCTCTGGAGCTAGGTCATTCATCATATTGATTTCACGACCTAGGTACACATAGCTAGAGCATTCAGAGATGGTCGTTCGTTGAGCGTGAATGGGGCATCAGAACCAATCCGTTTCTCATGAACATCGTCTTCGTTAGATTCAGCCGTAGACCGATTTTTCCACACGCGCAGTCGAATCAGCCAGCATTCGTTCCGCTTGCTCGATGTTTGGTGTTATCAAACGATGTCGTCAGCAAAGCGGAGATGGTGTAGTTGCCGACCGTCGATCTTCACTCCCATGTCTTCCCATTCCAGTTGACGCATGACGTTCTCGAGAGAGGCGCTGAAGAGCTTGGGCGAGATGGTGTCGCCCTGTCGGACCCCTCTCTTCACATCAATGATGATCTCCTTGTAGAATGGTGAGATCTTGGTCGTGAAGTTGCTGTAGAGCTCACGAAGAATCCTGATGTACTGAGTAGGAATACCCTGGTTGCCCAGGGCTTCGATAACCGCTTCTGTCTCAACGGAGTCGAAGGCTTTCTTCAAGTCGATGAACGTGAGACATAGCGGCATCTTGTACTCTCGCGATACTTCGATGAGCTTCGTTACCGTGTGGATGTGATCGATCGTGCTGAATCCTCTTCGAAACCCTGCTTGCTCGCATGGCTGTCCTTCGTCTAGTGTTCTGCCAATCCTGTTCAGGATGACTCGTGTGAAGAGTTTGTAGACTACAGACAGCAGGCAGATTGGGCGATAATTGCCAATGTCGTACAGGTCTCCCTTCTTGTACAGCAACACAGTCTTGCTGGTTTTCCACGAGGTGGGTACCTTGCATTCCGACAGGTAGCGCGTGAAGAGTCGAGCCAGAGTTTTGACGAGAACTGGCGGAAGATTCTTCAGATGTTCGGGTCTGATCCTGTCGGGACCGGGTGCCGTACGATTCTTCACCGACGAGATGGCGTGTCGGACTTCGGAAGAGAGAACTGCAGGAACGACATATCCATCCTGCTCCAAGCGGTATGGTTGCAGGTGGACGTGGCTGTCAAAGAGATCCGAGTAGAAGTCGTGGATGACCTTCTCCATTGCCCTTCTGGATGCGGTGATTGTTCCATCCGGACGTCGGAGGGCGGTCATCTTGGTCTTACAGTTGGCGAAGTCGCGGCGGGCGTTGCGTATGCTCTTCCCAGCCTCTGCGGCTTCCACCAGTACTGCTGCTCTTCTCTCCTTGAGGTCTTCCTTTATCGCTTCTCTGCATAGCTTCGCAAGCTCAGACGTCAGCTGGTAATTGCCTGCGGCTCGTGCGGCTCCACGTTGGCGAATCAGCTCGAGAGTTTCCAGAGACAGACGCTTCTTGGTAATCTTGGAACCCTCTGACTTCTTGGCGCAGTCGTTACGCGAAGATACGGCTGCATATGTGTCATGTATGCATGCAGCATCACGGCCGCTTCATACCAATCCCTTCGCTTCATAATTTGCTCAGCAAATGAATGAATACGAGCGTCAGAAACGGTCGTCCGTTTGTGGGCGGGCGGGCAAGGAAGGCGTTTGGGACGTAAAGTTGTTGCTCAATAGGGCGTTATAGGGTACCCTCCTTGGAAAAGGCTTCACGCAGCGCCTGTCCGAGGTCACGGAATTCTGTTAAGCCAGTTGTACAAATCCTACACCTGTATAGCGATTTATCGTGCCAACTGCCTTTAATGGCTCTTGGAAGTTCTATCAAGCTGGTTAAGGCCATCGCTGAATAGAAAACACTCAATCCATGCTCCCACCAACTGTCCAGTTGTAACTTTCAGATCCGAGTAGTAATTCGGGTGGTCGATAGAATCGTGTCACCTGGAAAAGTACAGTCTTAATCTAGTGAGGTGAGGCCAGGAGAATCCGAATCAGAGACTTGATACGGTGTTGACGTCATTCCTGGCCGTACAACTTTCGCAGAACCAAAATCGCCAATTTTCAAAAGACCAAGCCCGTGGTCTACGAGAATGTTGACTGGTTTTACGTCTCTGTGCATGATCTGCAACTGAAAAGGGAGAAGCACTCACGTCCTCTTTCCGCTCTCGATCTAGAACTCTAGAACTGGCGAAGCTCACCTGACTGAGATATTGTAGGCCATTAAACATCTGCCAAGTGTACATTTTCATGTCGACAAGATCGAGTGAGTTGTTCTCGATCAATGATCCCAACGTATCGGGCATAAAATCGAAAACGAATGATTCGCATATCTGAACATTTATGGTGCGGTGTCGTTGCAAGTAGAGATTCTTGAGAAAGAAAGATGAAATCAGTCGAGGCGGTGTCAGGAGGCATGAGCCCACCCGACTTTTCCGGCCAGTGGTTGTTTTCTTCCTGATCCGGTCACTATTGGTGGAAAACGCGCCGAGTTGGGCTCATTCCACGCCTTTTGGTACAGCCCCGACGAACTGTGATAATATCCAGTATGCAGTGAGGTAGCAAGCGTCTATACACGATCGTATCGTGATATCTCATGTGATAAAGTGTCCTTCCATCGAACATCTAGCACAGATGATAATTTCTTTTCTTTTCTGAGACTACTACTGTAAAAGCTTGGTTGTGTAATATGGTTGAACTTCTCATACCAGGCCCCTTTTATTAGGTCTTCCCATCCAAAAACGTAATGAGATTATACCCTGTTCTCACGAGCAGTGCCCAAAATACAGTTACTCAGGGTCTGGCACTGTGACGAGTTATAGTGGCCTATGAGGTCATTGTTCTGTCGAACTGATTGTCGAGGAACGGGCAGTATACACCGGCAATGACAAATTGGTTCTCTGTATAAAGCCGCCTAAAAGCCACAGTGTGGAATCCTTTGCTATGATGATCATCCACTTGCGCCCACGTAACTCCTCATGGTAGAACTCGGGCGGCTTCTCATCTGCATTCATACAAATTGACGATTGTGAGTTTTGGCTCGAGGTCCAAGACCACCCATATTTCATCTAGGGCCGGGGTGCGTTTTCACAGTCGTGAATGACATCTCATGCTGAGAACATTACTGCTAGAGGCATAGAATCGGTACTGCGTTCGTGCTTCTACAAGAAAATTAGGTACCCATGCGCACACCCTCTTGACCATCCTCAGTTTATCGGACATAACTCGGGCAGCAGTTGCAGCTGGGATGTCAGACTCGCGGGGAAGCTCGACAAAGGCTCTGTGATCAGACATTCAGCGCTTGACTTCATCCACCCTTTTTTCTTGTGCAGGATGAACATTATGGGACCATCCACGACAACAAATTTTTTTCCTTTCTCCTTCTTCGGGCTCCTGAACCTTGTTTATCGAGAACACCATTACACACAACTACTGGTCCGGCGCAGGTCAAATTTGAGCAGCGCACTTCCCTCTTATGACGTCTGATTTGAAAATCGGGCGCTGATTTTCACCACTCGGGCTTCTTTTCAAATTTCTCGAGAACTTCTGTGGGTAGGTTCGCCAAATTTCACAGATACACAGCTAAAGGTACTAGCCTCCAAATGGTATAGTAGCCCGCTTCCCTATCCCCTTTGCTTTTCTGCCATTCCTCTATATGTCACGGCACTTTTGAATGCGAAGACCTAATAATTTCTTTCCTGGAACTACTACTACACTGCAATAGCTTAGTTGTGTAATTTGGTTGAATTTCTCATATCAGGCCCCTTTTTATTAGGTCATCCCATTGAAAAACGTGATAGATTTATTCAAATAAAACGAAGAGTAAAAGGTGTATTTCGACTCGAAGTTGAGTAGATCCCTGTCTCCTCAAAGGGACGCTCCCAGTGCCCCGGGAGCGTTTGGACCACTGGCACATTCGCTTTTTCAACAACTGCGAGTAAATCGCTCTTGGATCCAAATTCAGCGATCGACAAGTTGTCGTAGCATTTGCTGTTGTAAAGCACCTTCTTGACTAGAACAGTTGAAATAGCACGGCTGTAGGTCGGGTCAATAGGGCAATTACACCCAGTTCTCGGTATTTGTGTCCGCGCACTGCCCAAAATACAGTTACTCAGGGTCTGGCACTGTGACGAGCAATGGTGGCCTCTGAGGTACCATTGTTCCGTCGAACTGATTGTAGAACAGGCACAGGCATCATACACCGGCAATAACGAATTGGTTCTCTGTGTAGAGCCGCTTTAAAGCCAGAGAGCAGAAATCCTTCGCTATGATGATCATCCACTTTGGCCCACGTAACTCCTCACGACATAATGCGCGCGGCTTCTCATCTGCATTCATACGAAATTGACGAAATTGACGTTTGTGAGTTTTGGCTTGGTGTTCAAGACAACCCATTCTCACCTAGGACCGCGGTGCGTTTTCACAGTCGCGAATGACATCTCATGCTGAGAACATTACTGCTAGAGGCATAGAATCGGTACTGCGTTCGTGCTTCTACAAGAAAATTAGGTACCCATGCGCCACCCTCTTGACCATCCTCAGTTTATCGGACATAACTCGGGCAGCAGTGAGCAGGATGTCACTCTCGCGGGGAAGCTCGACAAGGATGAGACATTCAGCGCTTGACTTCATCCACCCGCTTTTTTGTGCAGTGTGAACATAGTGGAGCCTTTCTTGGCCACAACTTTTTTCGCTCGTCCTTCTTTGGACTTTTGAACCGAATCTTCCACACTCTATTCGGAGAAACCATTATGTGCAACTAGTGGTGCAGCACAAGGTAAATTTTAGCAGCGCACTTTCCTCTTATGACGTCCGATCCCATAGACTTGCGCTGATTTTGACCACTCGAGTTTCTTTTCAATTGGAGAAGTGGATCAAGTGTCTGCTCAAGTACTCAAAAATATGACAAGTGCAGCTACATCCCTGATCTCCATCGACTTTGGATTGCTGGTCAACTGGGTGGAACAGAAACTCGGTGCATTTCTCTTCAGACGGCGCGCAATGACGCTGACTGCATGCTCATCCTTCTTACGTACAGTCCAAACCTCTGAAGCGTACTTCAGAGCCAGGAACAACCGCGATATCGCATAGATCGGTTCGGATCCGGATGTTATTCGTCCTCCTCGTTACTCGCTAAATATTCCTGGATGCGCAACCAGCCTCGCTTGCTCCTGCTGAGCTCCGGATTCGTTGACGGAGAAGGGGGTATCAGAAATTCACTCGTTTCTGGTCCTGCAGCAGTGCGCTTTACAACTCGTCGTTTTCGGCCATCAAGCAGGGCTGCCTCGACGTCGTCTTCTCTTCTTCGTCTTGCGTGGTGATTCTCAACGCCCGCCACTATCACGGCGTAATTTTCCATTGGAACGTCGTACGCTTCCGCGTATGCTCGATCGTCCTGAAGTCATGAACATGATCCGTAACGGTTCCAGCGGGAATGTGTCGTTAGGTGGCAAGAACTCTCCACGGTGACTGCTTTGTTTGAATGCCGCTCTTGGAATGCTTCCGTATTGGTTCTGCTTCTAGGGTCGTCGCCAGCGTCTTCTCCTGCTTTGGCTTGGGCTCCGAGTGCGCGCCACGTTTGTAAATGACTTCGCGTTTTTCATGAGCACCACCTCCGTTAGGTTCAGTAGCCCGAACCTTTTCACAGGCACAGCCGGAAGTCAGCCAGTAATCCTTCTACATTCTGTATGTTTACAATGACTTCGAATGTTTTTGTTGACAATTTGAGGCTAATGTATGCAGCATCCACACTAAACTCTCACGTTTCCCCATTCCATTTGAGCATGACATTCTCGAGAGGGGCGTTGAGCAGATTAGGCGAAACGGCATTGCCCATAGATCCCTCATCTTCACGTCGACTATGGCCTTTCAGAAGAAAGGGCAAGTCCTGGTTGGATGACCGCACAGTCTTAACTGAATGATAAGTTTTCTGTCACCGATTAGCCTGCGACATAACGGCGTTTTGTACACGCTGCTCGGATTGTCGAACCAAGACAATGAATAGGCAACCCAGAGATCATAGCAGAGATCCAGTCTGCAGGGCAAATCGATGGGTAGATGAAGAGATAGGCAGACAAGCTCTAGATCTTGAGAGACAACATTGTCATACACACAGGCGGACACAAAAAGAGGGCAGGCAAATAGACCAACAGATTCTTCGCGTCACGGAGAAATGAGTTGTGGAATGATCGCTTATCACATGGAGTTCCTTAGATCCAGAATCGTTGCTACCGTATTGCCTAAGCAACACGGTCGTTTTCACTGCAGACGGTGGGACGTGTCAGGGGGTGGGTTCGGCGCGGTACTGGCCCTTTACTGCACCAATTCAGTCGTTGAAGCGGGCAAGCGGCGAAAATTGGTGGAAAACGGGCTGGCACCACTCCAAACCCTACCTTTCCGACACGCCCCAAGTCTTCAGCGAAAAGAACCGCAGCTGTCGCTGAAAACGCGTGCGTTCCCTGAAACTCATTTTCAGCAGGGGCGTGTAGTCGCGAACTTCACCTGAACACTAAACAACAATAAAAGCGTATATAAAGCGAATACCCGGTCGTCTCGCTTGTTCGAGAAGGCATAGATCATTTGAATAATATTTTTGTGTCTTTCTCTACTGATTCCGGTGAGAAATATCATCTCAAAATTGCGATCTTTGCTTTCTGAAAGAGAATGTTGCCTCATCAAGGTGTATTTGGGTATGGTACTCTAACTGCACTGCAGTACACTATGCGCACACAAACAGACACTGATTTTAGTGGGGTGCAATCTATATCCATTTTCACGAGCCCATGCTCATGGAGTGGTCGCACTCACAATCAGTGGCAAACTAGAGGTTGGAATTCCCCGACACGTATTGGATGCTTATTGATTATTTCAGTGGGGAGAGGCAAGCATCCCACTCGCATTCTTTCCGTAAGCGCCTTCTGTACGCCTCGTGAGGGACCACACTCGAGCGGGACAACTATCCCCTTCCCGCGCAACAAGTACACGTCGTTGCTGTCTGGAGGGTGATATAATCTAGCATTGAGAGCAGCCTAGAGTGGCCGATGGCCACGGACCATAGGGACAGCATATGACATGGAGTTAAGCGCGCACTCGGAGAAATGGTCGCCTCCCGAGAGCACATAACGCTCTTCTTACTCGTGTTTCTTGAGTGTGCCAACTCGACCCGTGTTTCTAATTCTGTTACATGTCCATTAAGAAAAACTCCAATAGGGAGTGACCTCCGTGGCCAGAAAATCGGTGCTAAGCATTTCTGCGGCTTGAGGCCTGCCTAAATTCCCCGCCACTCAAGTCCTTCTAGAAAGCCTAGACGGGACGATAGAACCAATCAAATTTGCGCTCGCGATCATTGCCAATTGGTCCCACTCCGGAAGCCCTGTGCCGCGAATCGGGACTCATGGAGCTGGTGATCTGAAAACAAATGGCAACCCACCTGGCCAAGTTTTCTTAATAGCGATTTCTCTCGGTGCTTCACCGGGGGATAAAAGTGTGCCCCTGAAACTGCGCTTATAAATCAGATATAGTAGATTTGCAACGAAACGTGGAGGACAGCCCATTGTCGCAGAAACCCAGAGAACATTGCCCTATTGTTCTAGTACTGGAGACAACAACTTTCGCACCTGTACACATTACTGAAGACTCCGTTAGCATGTAAGTGTAGATTTGTCATTTTAAGCTTTACATTTCTCATATCTGGCATTTCTTTGGCAGGCTGGAACAGTTTCATAACAAAGAGACAGTGGAAAGGAAGCGGTAGGACGTAAACATAGAACCTGTTCAATGATCTTGTCGGTCATGTTGGTGAGTACACAATATGTCGACCTCCCACGAGTGTTAAAACTAAGCAACTGAACCTCCAACTCTTTGATCGTTTATTATGTAGTTAACGTTGTCTCGATATGACAACCCAAAACCCTTTTTTTTATTTGGGACTCATCGAAATGTTTGCGCGTTTCATTTCTCGACTGACAAAAAGCGGTGGCTAAACATTGGCTATGAAGATGGGTTTGGAAACAAGTACTATGAGTCATGAGTACAACAGAGAATTCCTAAAGAGCGATGTGGAGGACTTGGCAATTCTTTGGCGTTCTCTTGGGCTATGTTCATACTCTGCGAGTGTGTGGAATACTCGATTCCGAAGAGTCGGCAACAGAAAAGTATACGGCATCCATCTGGAGAATGTACGATTCACAGGAATCTGCGACTCGACGACAAGGGACTATATGGGAGTTTCCTAACTCCGCCTACCATAGTTCCAGATGAATCTGCGAGTCGGAAGAATTGGCAATTCGAATAAGGCTGGTAGAATATGCGTTTCGTTAGGTGGACGGATAAGAAACGATTCCCTCGAGATTAGTTTTCTCCTATAGGGCACCGTCCCAGTCCGTGGGTTTCCCAGATTCACAAAGAAGGGACACGATTTTACACTAGCCAAATGTGTACCCTTGCTATATCAAATGCATAACGCTTCTCAAATTCAAACTACGCCCCCTCCATAAGATCGTGTTCTCCTTTCTAGCGACCATTCAACCACAGAGTTCACACTCCGTCAAAGGCAAAGCCAGCGGTCACATATCTGGGCACTAAGGGCGCGCTCAAATAAAGATGTCAGGGAAGTCGATGGTAGAAAAACAGCGAGATCATCTCCAAAATTCGAATTGAAGCCGCTTGGAGAGCACATTTGTACGAGCAAACGGCGAGAAAAGGGTACGATTGAACGAGATCTCCAGGCAATGGAGTGTGTTCGGACGGTATCATCGAACGGTGCTAGTTGACGTAAATTGTCCTAGCAGATTGCTGACTGTCAACAATGTCCCTGCCTCGACCGTTTCTTTTGGGCAAGGTGCTTTTGGCGGGAAGGGTAGCAGCATCGTTGTGTGAAACAGCACTAGACGGAAGTCGTACTTTTCCGTTGGGGGCGCGGCGAGGGGGTCGTATTTGACCGCAGTTGGGAGGGGGGAGTCGCACCCCGCGGCTGTTTTTCCGGGTGTAGGTTTAGGCGACAGTGTTCCCGTTTTGAAACTAGCTTTCTTTCTTTTCCTTCCTACCTTCTCTATTCCCTCTTCCTTTACCTTCTCCCTTCAACTACTGTTCTAATAGATGCCGCGAAAAAATACCCCTGGGATCTCGCAGCGAGATCATGTCTGTTGACAAGTGATCGTAACCTTGAACCTCACTCCCCGTCGACAGCCTAAGTGTAACCACTGTGGCTACGGACACACCATGATTCACGCCTCAGCCGTCCTTCATTGGTGAAATTTTGATAAATTTATGTGACGGTATATTTATTTCTGTTTTGGTTGGTTTGTATTATTATGTTTTTTCAGAACACGGAGGGCGTGTAAGGAAGTGTTCTTCAATATGTCTTGGAAAGAGGAGTAGAAATATTCTCCTTTAGGCCATAGGCACGTTCCATTTCTTTTTCTATCTATTTACTTTTTGTGCTTATTGTTCGTTTTATATAGACAGTCAGAGTTTACGGCACAAAAATGAGTAAAAATTCATTTCATCATTCGAAAGTTGAATGTTTGAGTCGGTTGCCTTCTCGGCTATCGTCTGGTACGTAATTGGTGCTATAAGTTTCATCTCAAAAAACATTTCCGTGAGCTCTCTCATAAACATGGAGCTGATGTCACAAAAACTCCGTGGTGATGTAGTGTAGCGGGCTGCTTCTTCTGTTTTGCGGCCATGAGCGCGCGTCGCTCGCTTGCTCCCTCGCAAACGTGACTGTAATACCCGGTGAGCGGGGCCAAAAATGGCGATGGAACGCGGCTAGATTCCGCACCCGACTGTTACCACGCGCGCGCAAATTTGAATACAAACCGTGGTTTGAATTATCTTCCCGCGCGCACATTTCAACACAAGACAGCTTAAGCGTTGCACGTAGACTCCGGAACACGATCTCTTCGACAGTTTCTCTTTTGTTTGCGATAGTTTTTTCATAGCGTTCTAAATGTATAAACCAGAAACTTAGTTTCACTGCACATTACTGCTGTCCCATAAACTAACTTTATGTGAACCTTTATTATTGGATATCTTTAGAGACGAATAGGGAAAAATTCGTCAAAAAAAATCCTAGTAACAGTAACAAGTGAGGTAGTGGCGCATACAAATATTAAACAAGGCGTCAAAGCATAAAAGTAAATAAGCGTAAACGTAAATAAATGAATATGATTATAATTATTGTCGGTGCTAGGTGGTATACTACTCTCGCGAGTAGAAAACAATTACACGAATTTAATGAGTGGAATTCTTTGTTTGTCCCCAACAATGTTTATCCTTCTTTCGTAGTGTCGGACGACGGCTCCCTCATTTGCCTAAGTTCCTCATGCAGATCTCCTTGTGGTTTCTTCGGCTTCTTCTCTTTTCCGCGCTAGAAATTATTGATGTGCTCGGGTTTTTTTTGGAGAATGGAAATCTTACTTGACCTTATCTTGGCCATACAATGTAGGGTACCTGGTAAAGTTGCACTTTCGTCAACTGCGGCTTGCCCCAATTTGTGCCAACTCTGGGAGAACGGCCAATGAACTGGACGATGGAGGTTGTGCTATTCCTGCTGCGAGTTGCAGGTAGCACAAGATCTCTTCCAGCTGTTCCATTGCTTCATCTGTGTCAACTTTAGCCAGCGAGGTGGGGTCGACAGTGTTGAATGTATTGTAAAGGTTACGAAACATTCTTAGCCTATCAACCGGATGCTCTCTCGCCTGCGAGAGTCTAGAGGTATTTTGTCATCGCATCTTCTGGTCGAACATTGGGAGGAAGGAAATAAGCAAGTGAGGTGGGAAGAGGAATGAAGGAAGGGTGAATGGAAAAGCAGGAAGGATAAAGGAAAACGGAAGGTTGAGGGAGGTTCAGCGGTGGACAGATATTCTGAGGACTCAGGCACCTTTTCAGGCTATCTCGAGACTTCACAAGGGGTTCGCGTAGCAGTTCCTCGCGACAACCCATGGAAAGCACGAAAGAAACCTGACCATATGAGTCCTCTTAAGCGAGCAACATAAGACAGATACAGTGATATAACTGGAAAGAGAAATAACTATTTCAGAGAAATAAGTTCGACCTTTGATGCTAAATGAACAGTGAAAATGCCATTCCGTCAAAAAAAGAACGCTAGGAAAAAACTTTAGGAAAAACTTCAAGGAAGCTTTGCATGCAAAAGAGGACTGTCTAGAAATCATTAGCGGAGTAATGATCACGTCTTACCTGTCAGATATGGTGGCGTGGAGGAAAGAGTAGCAGAACAGTGAAGAATACACAGAAAAAATACCACAGTGGTGAATAGCAGATCCAGTGGACAGCTGAAGAACAGACTTGTAGAACCAGGAAGAATTCACTAGCAGTGTCGGTGATCTGGACGCGCATAGGGCAGCAGAATAGCGAATAACAGCAGAATAGTGAAGAAACCGCTCCATGAATCAGCAGAATAGTGAAGAAACAGCTCCATGAATAAGTTCCTACCGCTAGATAAGAGAAACCTTCAGCAAGCGCTGTTTGTGTTGAAATGTGCGCGCGGGAAGATAATTCAAACCACGGTTGTATTCAAATTTGCGCGCGCGTGGTAACAGTCGGTTGGGCGAGGGCTTGACGTGGACGGATATAATTAGGCTTCAGCGCTTCTTCCTGAGCTTGGAGACGATAATTTCCTTCTTATTAAACAGCTGTGTGTTTCTACTGCTTGAACTAAGAAGTTCCGAGAGGAAGAATTAACTTAGATTGGAATTTATGCTTTTTGCAAAGGTATACATTAGGCAGAGGCGAAAAAGTGGTTATCAGGTCTTACGTATGATCATGAAATCAACATTAAGCACACCTTGAAGACAATAGGAACGTTTACCTTGTAAACGGTGCTCCCGTCTAATATCTATTGCGGCACAAATTTGGGAAACACCGGTCCATTTCGAAGCCTTGCCCCTGTGGCCACGCCCACCCGGGTATCTAAGTGCACGCACGCACCCGCTTCCCTCTCCAGGGTCCAGTCTTCGGTAGGGGAGCATAGACCTACACAACAACCCTCTTCCAGGATAATAATCTTCTTAGTTTCTTTCAGCACTAAACGGTTCACCGTGGCGCTATGTTGTGGTACTGCTGCTGAAGTCGCGGCATGGTCTCGCAGAGCAGACAGCACGACGCGCTCGGGTGGCTAAACTACGGCTGCAGCAAAATTCCTTTACAATCAGAAAAATATCAAAAAATATATTGAGGTGGTCTCGACAGCTCACTAACCTTGTGCTTACTCTATTCTTAATCATCCAGAAAGCCATAAAGGTAATCCCACCCCCTCCTCAAACTAGCACCACGTCGCGCCACCAGAACTGCCCCCTTTATGCATCTGTAGTTGAGGCCGGTGCGAAGTGGAAGAATGCACCCGAAAGGATCATGTGGTTATCAGTTAAATTCACCCACTAGGATTCGAAGAATTCGCTTTTTGTAACCGTTTTCTCGAACCGCGATGCGGCGCGGCATCATGAGGAGTGAAAAAGATGAACTGTAATATCTCCTTTGCGATCCATCCAGTTACAATAACCCATGTGGGATGAGTCATTGTAACTATTTGAGCGTTTGAGATTATTTATAGCAATTTACACTTTTTTAGATTTAGATTTGAGCGTTGAGATTATTTATAGCATGAGACTTTTTAGATTTTTGCGTACATCGTACCTCCGCTGTTCTCAGTTTTATAATCCCATATCTTCGCACTAAGGCACCCTCGATAATATCTTTTGGTCACTTTGACTTGTTAAAAGCGCTTTTTGCTCCGTTCTATCTTATATTGCGAATTTCTAGCAAATATCGCCTAATGGCCTTTACAGTCTTGTTCGCTGAGGGCACCAACTGCGAAAACCGGCAGGTGGTGTGGAGACCGTTTGCCCACTGGGTGAGATTGTCTCCAACGAGTCGATGGGGCAAGTTCTTGGCAGGGCATTTCTGAAGAAGAAAAAGGAATAAGTTGAAAACATTAAAGGACGTTGGTATTAGGAGCCAGATATGAGCCGATGTAGAAACCCAGACTCATCAGCGTGAACTCATCCATCTAGATGGTGAGTCGGGGCGGGCAGAGATCCTGTAGTGTGAGGAAAATAGGTCCGCGAAGGATTGGCTTCTAAAAAGCAGTGAAAGGAGTTATATGACACAAAATATTTTAGAAGCTTCGGCTGGCCGCCAAAACTCAGTGAGTCCGACATGGTTTCAAAATGTTTTGACGATCGCAGTTTTCAGCGCGTTAGCAGACCTCAGCAATCTTGATGGTGTTTTTTTTTCAGATTTTCTAGACCAGTGCACGAGCAAATATCCGAGTCGTTTGTTCAATGTCACTCCCGAAAGAGACTCTACTCCAGTACGACGGATAGCCTTCGCTTTGGAAAATATAGTGAGTAAGTTCGAACTATGAATTCGCGATTTCTATGAAATCCGTTCGAATTGTAATTACCTTGCACATACTTTACTGTTCAAGATTGACCAGTTGGGAAAGCCTCTTGTGCCTTCCACGCAGTCTCTAGCGCAAGCATTAGTGTACAAGTTCAATGGGCCCCATCGTCGTCAGGGATTCTGGATGATTTATAAAAACCTCTCACGAGCTCTGCGGAAATATAACGGAGAAGACCTCTTGACCAAGGTTTCAGATTTGCATAAGGTATAAGCTAGTTACTTGGGACTGTCTTGATGAAATGAATATTCACCTGTCTTGCAGAAAGCAACTGCAAGTGGTGCAGGATTCTATATGCCGACTGTGGAGGTTTTGCGTTACATAGGTGCGGCCTATTTGAAAAGGCTGTTTAGACTTCAGCAGGTTAGTTCCTCAGTTCTCACGTCCTCGTTTGGTCCTTGAATAGAATATTTTTTTTTGTTTTAAGATTCGGGATTTATGTGTTCGTACTGCTCACGTAATAATGGGACAGCTGGAGTTGGGTCATTGGGTAAGTGAGACCCTTATACTAGAACGGCCACCTTAGCACATCAATAGTTCGTGGAGCTGGTTTGTGCTGTTCGGCTTGGGCTTCATTATACACTTCTGCAAGGTTCTCTTGTTAGTTCCTTTCAAATTACTCGTCTTACCTTAGTGGAACTCGTAGACACTTGCTACGTGTAAGCAAAGCTCGTGCATATTTGTCCACCGGGAAGCCTCCTTCCTCATTCCTCCTTTTCCTTCCTTCCTTCTCTTTTCCTTTCCTTCTCCCTTCAGATGCCCGGCTACAGTAGATGCGATGAGGAAACCTAAAAAAAAGCCTACACCTCT